CCCAGCCCGTCATCTGCAAAATAGTGTCCTACCTCACACAATGTGCCCCAAAAGCAAAGACAAGCGGGGAAGGCTGTCCGGTGCATATGAGCTGCTCTGGAATGCTTGGTGTTGCAAAGAATTCTGGGTCATTTTCTTTGGCCACGTATTCAGAGGTAATGGCAGGACTCGGGGAGCTGTGGATGAACTGACATGTGGAAGGCCCTCTTGGGTTTACCTGGAGCCAGGAAGCAGCACCTCGGGGGTTGTGTCTACCACTCTTTGGGCATCCTGCAGTGCCTCTGTGTGACACTAAGCCAGGGGCATTCTGGGAAGTGCATGTGGCACATAAGCCCAGCTGCTCAGCACTCGAGGCTGGACAGCTTTTTTTGTTAATTGGGAGCTTGAGACAAACATTGGCAGCAGGCCCTGCTAAACTGACACCTGCCATCGCAAGGACCCTGTGAGAGAGAATTTGAAAAATTAAAAGGACAGGCTCGAATCAAAAATGATTGAAAGCGGGCGAATGAGGGCAAGAAGAGCTAGTTCCATTCATGGAGACAGATTTTGGATTTGCATTTCTCATAATAGCAACCCTTTCGCAGAACTACACTCAAAACAGTGGGGAATCTTAAAAGCTCTGTATGGTTACAGGTCTTCTGTAGTGCCTGGTTCAACATGAGGGTTTGTTGCTGGTGGAGAATCAACCACCTTTACCTGTTGTACCACAGCAGGTTTTTTTTTTTTTTTTTTTGGATCGTGACTCAATAATGAATATTAAGCCTTTATATAGAGTATGAGCCCTCCTGGCATCCTGCAGATGGCCAGGTCTCTTCTCCCTGTTCCACCCCATCTCCCCACAACCATCAATTGTTCTGTTGGTTTCCTGGCTTGAAAAGCTCCCAACTCTTCCCTGGTGGTTGCATGCAGAGCAAGAAAGCAGCAGGAGCTGTAAACTCCGGGGCACTGCCCATGGCTGGAATGCAACCTCCAAGGGCTTTTCTGCAATGACATGCAGCCTTCACCGTGAAAAAGGTGACGTCCCTGGATCTTGAGCTTTCTTAGCATTCAGACCGCACAGTGGACTTTACCACGCTGGAGGGTAGGTGCGCAAGCTTCTCCCCTTACACTGTGTGTACACACAAATGTGCATACCTCTTCACACCTTAGACGCGTGAGACAAAAGGGCTTGCTTTAGAAAAATCACGACAAAGGCAACTTCCTGGTTTACAGCTCCCGTCTCTTGGCTACCACGCCACTCCAGTCCAAAGCAACATGGGCTGAATTGCCCGTCTCTGCTACAATCTCCTGGTATCAACTAACAGAAAACGCCTTCTCTGAGCAGGGATGCTTCTATATCCAGAGCACTGCCACCCACAGACAAGGGGGACGTTAGCAGTTTGGCCTGAGAAAGCCCCAGCAAAAACAGCTTTCAGAAAACCGAAAGTGAGGGGGGCACCCCAAAACAGCCCAGGGAGGCCCAAGGGTCGAGTTTAGGAGGTGGGTGGCAGGGGAAAGCAAGGTGGGTCCCAAAGGAACGGCGGCGGCAGCAGCAGCAAAGAAGGGCCAAATACCTGGCGAGGTGGGTGCTAATTCAGATAAATCTTGGCAGAAAAGGGTTGCTTCCGTGCCTTTGTGTCATAAAATGCCTGCACCCCTTTCTCAGAAGCACCCAAAAATTCCAAGTCAGGTTGCTGTTTGGCATTTGCTGTTACTTTAAGAAGTGGGACCTGATGGCTTCCCCAAGAAGCTGCCAGGGCTCCTGCTTTTGCTGATCATAAGAACTGATCAGGCAGCCAGGTTAACAGCACTGCAGTCTCTCTCATTTGCATGCCAAGACCCACAGCAATCCCTGTGCCTCAGTGATCATTATGTTAACCTCCTGCAATCAAATTCCATTGTACTGAGCCCCCTCTGCAGACCCCTCACTTTTTTCTGACTGTGTTCCCCTTATTTTGTCATCAACTGCCCAACTGCTGGGCCCATGTGACTCAGAATCTATAAAACACTCTGTGTATGTTCCAGGAGCCTACCCAGCAGCATGCTGTCATAAATAGCTGCAGGGGGCTTGGGTGATGTTTCAATAAAACCGCTGAGGTTCAAGACAAAAGGAGTCTTCCCTGACTGGGCCTGGTTATCCTTGTTAAGCATTGAGGGTTCCCAACATGGGGCAGAACCAGAGGAAAGCGGGGGTCAGGTAGCAGCAAAATAAAGTTGGACCAGGAGAACGGCGAGGTCAGAAAGGACAAGGAGCAGGTACCTGGCAAGGTGAGGTCTGGCTGAAGGCGAGAGCTGGAGGAGTTGCTGGCAGGCAGCAAAGCAGAGCTGAAACCCAGCCCAAAATCTCCACTGCAGTGGTACGGCTGAGCATCCTGGGAAAACCTTGCAGAATTCCCAGCTGTGCTGCATGAGGACAAAGCCTGCAATCCGGGCAGGTGCCTCCAGGTGTGCTCCTGTCGCTGCAGGCACTTGCAGTGGAAACATGTCGGTCATCAGCAGGGGAGCTGTGACCAGGCTTGGGATTTTGAATTATGCCCCGGGGCAGAGAATGGGGACAGTTTTGTGGGGAAAGGGAACAGGTCGTCATATTTTGAGAGAGCCACGGCTGCTGGGCAACCTGCCCTGGGAATCTGCATGCCTAGTCCTGCTCGTTCTCGCACTAAAGGGAAACTTGATCCAGGGCAGAGCTGTTTGTAATCAAAGCTGCAGCAACCGAAGCAGCAAAGTTCCTTCATGCTTGAGGGAAATCTTCACGGGGAGAAAAACCCTAAGGCAATGTTCCCCTTTGCCCAGCAACTCAGAACATCAAAATTAAGTACTGGAGGAGAGTGCATTTTTGGCAGCCATGGGAATGCCTGCTGTGAGGAGAGGGGAAGGAGAGAGGAATAAAATGGAGTGAAAATGGACAATATCTGTGACATAGTGGTTAGAGCGCAGGATTGGGACTTGGGAGGGCTGGGTTCTAGTCCCTGTTCAGCCATGGAGCTCACTGGTTTACAGCTCTGTCTCTTGGCTACCATGCTACTCGGGTCCAAAGCAACACTGGCAGGGTCGCTCATCTCAAGCTACCTCACAGGGTTGTTGTGAGGTCACAACAGAGAAAGAGAGAACTTCGTAAGCTGGCTTGAATTCCTTGCAAGAAGCAAGCCTGGGTTTAAATCTAATATAAATCAAGTTTTTGAAGAGGGCGTGACTGGCTGGAATACTAACAGAATCCCTTGGAATGGCCTTGTTTTACTGTGGGACCAACTTGTTACTTCCAAAGGAGTTTTAGGTGTGATTTAAAGCTTCAGAGGGACGGGCAGGTTTCCTGAACTCCAGCCCCTTTTCTCCCAAGCCAACTCATGGCTAAAATCCAGGGTTTTGTGTAGGGGAAAAGCACCAGGAAGGATGGACTGGAGGTCAAACTGGCAGGGCGAGGGGGGTTTCCATACTCCACCCCCCACACACAAGTCACGAACCATATCCACCACTTTAGATGAGTTTAAAAAAAGAAGAAAAAAAAGAGGCAGAACCAGTTTTAAAGATGAGCTGCTTTCATGTCTGTCTTGGGTCAACTTGTAATTAACCAAAGTATTGAATGATTTACTGGCTGAAAAGTACGGGGACATGGTATTTTGAGGTCATGTTCTTCCTTTTGCAAACCTGGAATAAGCATTGCTCATTGAAATATTAGTTGCCTCTCATTCCAGATCCAAGGCAGAAGGCAGATACTGAAGTTTTACCACTCTGCGGATTTACTTAAATTCTAACCGATTCATTTGCCCTTTAGCAATCTTAAAACAGCGAATGCCTAGCTGTCTAAACATTCCGACACTTAATTGTGGGGCTTGGACCACTCTTAGAAACTGGATGCATCATTAAATCACTCCATTGGGCTTGCTCCAGTGAGGCAATCCGTATGAGGAATTCAGCTTACAGGTGAACACACCCAGCAGGAGCTCTTAGCCACAGTAAGGCAGGCTAAGAGCTTTTAACCATTTCAAAGTATAACCACAAGCACGCCCAACAAAATGGGGAATGTCAAAAAGCAGTGGGCTAGGATATTATTATTATTATTATTCCAAAGCGGTTTATTGTTGCAATGCATTTCAGACCTCATAAAACCCATGTTTGGGGAAATCTACAGAATATTTAGTTCACTGTTTTAAAAAATGCCCATGTAGTCTTTTAAGGTCTTACCAATTTTCCAACATGCCTAGAAACAATACTATTTTTACAAACATAGTTCCAGAAAGAATCCCCTTTGAATTGGATGAAACAGAAGCCCATGTTTCATAACATTTCCCCAGAAATGAAATGACTTACTTTCTGTAGCCCGACTGATACCAGGACTCCTGTGCTGTAGCAAGTCAAAAGTCAGTCTAATCTGTGTTTGGTTTCCTGATTGGAAACAGCTGTGTTTCAAAGCAGTGTTGCAAGGTTGAAAAGTTTAAAGCCCAAGGAGTCATCATGCTTAACCTTAAAATCCACCTCGTTTATCTGTCTATAACCTCTTTCTACTGCCCAGAAATAAATTCTCTCTTACTCTTTGGAATTTATCTTTCCAATGTGGAATGACTGGAGCTTCTGCATTTCAGTGTTCGGGTTTTTATGTTCTCCCTCATGGGGTCTGAGAAACACTGGAAGAGTAAATCTCTTGGGAATTAAATATAGTTTACTATTGCTTCTGGTGACTTAAAGCTCCCCTGCTAATATGTATATTGTACAGAAAACATATCCATCCAGAAACAATGTTGAGATGGCGGCTCATTCTGCTTTTGCTCTCAACCCCATATTCTGTTTTCTGTGCAACGTTCAGACCTAGAATATACAGCAGTAATAAGAAAGCACCTCTGGAAATGTGCAAAGTGCATTTCATTTTCAACAGAACCACAAGCAGCTCCAAATACATCTGCAATTAGGTAGTGAGGTTCAAGTAGGAGGGCTGCATTCTCAGCAGGGATTGTCTTTTTTTTTTTCTTTTCTGAGGCGCTTAACTACTATGCATAAATTCAAGAACTATGGCACCGGACCAGGACAGCTCTACCGCAGTAACTTTTAATACTCATAATTTGCTACCAGTGTGCAACTGCTCCAGGTCTAAAGATGGGCAACTCACAGTCTCAATGGGTCTTTCACATCACGATGGAAAAATTAAGTTCCACTGATTTAACTTTTCTTTAGGCCCGGAATTCATTTCAGCTGAAGACACATACCCAAGGAAAAACGGACATTTATGTTAGAGTGCAGGAACCTGGATAAATTGCATTACTCCAAAAGGTCTAGAAGATATATATGTACAGTTGTAAGCTGCTGAGGTTAAGATTTTGTTCCAGAGATATTATCAAGTGCCAAAGGCAGGGCTGGGGCCGAGTGGGAAGGAGAGCCTCTCACGCGTGGCCCACTTTGAAAACAGCTCTTCGTGTGATCAAAACTGCATATTGTATATTAGCTGTACAAATTGTTTTTTAAATAGCATCGTCTTACTTGAATATGCACACGTATATATTATATAGCACCGTTCATTTGAAGGACAAGTTCTGAGAGCTTTACAGACATATAAAGATACCGAGGACATTTGGGGAGGGCGCGAACACCAGGCAAGCGTGGGGCGGCCAGCGGCGCAGCTTTGGATCGAGGCCACGCGGCCCAGGTTCGCGCTCAAGCAACCCACGCCGGGCTGAAGGCTCACCCCCGAGGCAGAAGCACTGCTTTATTCAGCAAGGTAGGAGCAGCAACCTTGCCCGGAAAGGGGGAGGCCGCAGAGCATGCACGGTCTGGTCCCTGCAGGTAAGTCAGGGCCGATCAAGGACTGCGTAGAATTTCGGCTTTCTGATGCTGGCGGGCCCAATTCGGATCCTGCTCAGAGTGGATTTACTGCATGTGTTCAGTGTTTCGCCCCTAACCGCCCCAGTCGCTGCTCTGGTTACCACTGGCATCTCGCGGGCTCCTCTCGGTTTGCTTTCCTGGGGCAACTGCATGGTCTCCCAGTACCCCCGAGCCGCGGAACCTCACAGCCGCACCTCAAATCTGTCTTTTCTAGGAGCCAAAGCCGACCTTCCAGGGCTACCCAGGTGGGCCCGGCCCCACCTCCAATCCCAACTGTTGTGTGATTTCCCGGCTGTAGAGCTCGTTGCCTATTGTCAAAGGCTGCAAACGCCGGTCCCATGGCTTACTTTCTGCAAGAGGTTTGAGCTGAGAGGGGACGACCGTTTCGTGCCCCTCCCTCTGCTCCTTTCGACCCACCCACTTCCCAGCAGAGAGCTTCTCCTGAACTGAATTCGGCCCTTGGACTGAACGAGGCTCTGTGCTCCCACAGGATATGCTCAAGTTTTAGTGATCGGATTTAAGGCCTGCAACTGCAAGAGTGTGTCTTTCTGTTTATGCAACTGCCAGCTGTTTTAGGCTAGCAGCCCTAACAGGCCACACCTGAATACAAATTATGATATGCAAAACTGTGTGCATGTGTACCCAGAGTCATGAATGGCAACACGATTCCCAGAACACATTCTGGGAACGGCAGAAACGGGGCACTTGATGCGGCGGCCAATCCCTCGGAGCTCTTTCAAGCTGCCCCAGTGGATATGTCGAATTTCACAAGCAAAAGTGTTTGCTGAGAACAACAAAAATACACCATGCAAATCAACAGTTGCCTTGAAAAGAATGATTTCATAGCTACCGACAGCAACCTTCAAAACCAAGATCATAAAAGTGTCTCGTTGGATCCTTCACAACGTAATTACAACTTACCTGTAGAGCAACTAAGCAGATAATCCGGTACGTATCACTGTGCACCGCTTAGAAATGCCAATTTAAAAATTACATGTTCTGCCCTTGCAATGTAAGCCGAAGGGGTATGATCCGACATCTCCCCCTGCATGCTGAGCTTCTACTCTGGCAGCTGGACTACAAATCGACTAACTCAAATTTTGCAAACAGTTCCTGATAACAAGAAACTGCAGACATTACACTTCCTGGGGTTTTCTTCCATTTACCTCCTGCTGGAATGAGGGAAAACACGGGATTTTAAGAAAGGGCTGCTGAACATCACTGCACAGGTAACATCATGCCAGGGGAATCTAGCAGCTACCTGAGGTGAGGAATACAGGGAGGAGGTGCACACCCAGCCTGACCAAGACTCAGGCAGCATCCTCGGCTGGCCGCCCTTGCCACTGGCAAGGTGTGTGTATATGCTGGAATGAGACCTAAGAAGCCTGTATGGAAAAGGACAGCCGGTACAACCATCCTATTTCATGTGACAACTGAGTGGCTTGTCTGAAGAAGTGGGAAGACACCCTCTCAGAACACCCTCAGGATGTTTCGGCAAGGAAGTGTGTGTTTAATTCCCAAAGTTTTGGCACTGAACGAACATAAGAGCAGCCCTGCCATATTGGACCCCCAGGGTTCGTCTAGTCCAGCATTCTGTTCACACAGTGGCCAAAGGGCTGCCTGAGGGAAACCCACAAGCAGGACGTGAGCAGAAGAAGAGCAGCTTTCCATCCATGTTCCCCAGCAACCGGTGGTCACAGGTCTACTTCCTCTGATCCTCCTGGCTGCAAACAGCCATGAGGACTAGTAGCCCTGGATGGCCTTATTTCCCATCCATTTGCCTAATCCCCTTAAAAGCCATCTAATGTTATGCAGCTAAGTGGGCGGCCATCCTAAGGACACCAGAAGAGCCATGCCTGGTCGGACCGAGAGTCCACCTGGTGAAGCGCTCTGACCATACAGCAGCCAACCAGTTGCCTGTGGGAAGGACACGGGTGCAACAGCAGCTGCCTGGCCATGTTCCCTAGCAACCGGTATACACAGTCATACTTCTTCTAATGCTGGAAGTAGCACAGAGCCACCTGGACCAGCAGCCACAGACAGCTTTCTCCTCCGAGAGCTGCTGGCTGTAGGAAAGCTCGCGACAGGGCAAGAACTCCCACTGGGAAACACAGAGCACGTTGCACCCAGGGTGATCTGAACTCGCCACGTACAAAGCTCAGACCTTTAAAATATTGCGACGGTGACAACCCCTACCAACCCCTACCAAACATCAGCATTTTCAACCTCCTGGCCATCGAAAAATCTATCTCCTTGAGTCAAGAAAGAGGATTTCTCAAGTCCAGGAGTGGCAAAAGGGACTAGGTGCTTCAGACGATGAGGTCAGCTCAGAGAGGGGACATCTTCCCTCGAAAATCACGCCTGCCCCATTCATCCTCCAGCGTTGGCACAGCATAATCGCGTGGTTACATAACACGAACGCTTCACCACTCGTTATCCAGCAAAACATGGTTCCGGGCAGGGCGGGGAGCACCGGCTTTCCCGTGAGGCAATCCAGAGCGCCGCTGCGACGGCTCATTCTTTGCTCTCGTACGTCTTTCGGACGGCCGCACGTGTGAACTCCAGATCTTCAGGGTACCGGATCTCCAGCTCTGTGTTGGCTACGTAGTGAGTGCCAGCAAACTCGGTGAAGTAGCGGCCAATGTCTGGGTGAGCGATTTCATGGGGCTCCATGTTGTACGACAGGTTCTCTGCAAGAGGAAGAAAGAGCGCGCCACCGCCGTTGCCATGTGCCGGAAAGGAGCAGCTCAGTGCATAACAGCTCAGCCCAGAGGAGCTCAGCTCAGCTCGGAAGAGCTCAGCTCAGCTCGGAACAGCTCAGCTCAGCTCAGCTTGGAACAGCTCAGCTCAGTTCAGAAGAGCTCAGCTCGGAACAGCTCAGCTCAGCTCGGAACAGCTCAATGCAGCTCAGCTCCTGTTGTTCAGGGCTCCAGCAAGATACCCCTTTGCAACCCGGCTCAGTGAGTTTGTTTGGGACCAATCCCCGCATCCATCTGTGAAACAAAACCTTGGCTGCTGCCTCCTCCAGGGAAAGGCAGCTTCAGGGGAGCTGGTTTTCAGCAGAGATGAGGAAACCCTGCTCTCCTGATGCCCGTGCCGATGGGAACACGGCAAGGCCTGTGCATGCTTTGCCCAGGGCTGGAAAGTCCCCACCTGAAATCCTGATGGCCACTGCTGCCAGCCAGGGACCACCATTCTGGGCTGGACAGGTCAAGGTCTGACCCAAGACACGGAGACTTCAGGCGTCCTTCCCCCCAGCATGGGGGGCTGGGATAAGCCCCGCCTCTCCCTGCAGCTGGAGAGAGGGATGCAAGCTGATTCCTGCAGCACTGAGTCTCTAAGGCAGACGCTGCTGCTGCTTGCACTGCCTGCCTCCAAGGGGTGCCTGCCAGGCTGGCCTGGAGGTCCTCAAAGAGCAGGAGGGATGGTCAGAGTCGGTGCCACATGGAAAGCCCCGCCCCTGGGCTTGGTAAGGCCAGGCCCTTCCGGATGCCCTTCCACTGACCCAAGCAAAGGATGCCATCTCAAGTGGCAAAGCAGCAGGGATCTGTCCCTTGCGCAATCCATCCTGGGCTTTTATGCTTCGCTAGGCGTCCATGCCGGAGGATGTTGGGGGGGGGGGGCGGGCGGCAGATGGCTCTGAGAGAGGGGCTTTTCAGTGGCAGCTTCCCCCTTCCCCCAGAGGCTCGCCTGGTGCCTATGCTTTGGCTTTTCAGCATCAAGAGTCCCTTCTATTTCACCACATGGTTCAATTACATGTTTTTAGCACCTCTTTAGGACTTTGGCCCCAGTCATCCCCCCATGCTGGTTTTAAACCTGCTGGCCTTGCCCTGATTTTATGTTGGCTTGGACGGCTGGATGCCGGATGCAGCAGTGTTGCCTTTATACACTTCCATGTCATTGTTTTGGTGGCATGTTGTATTTTACCTTTTTGCAACATCTGTAAACTGCCCAGAGGGTGTTGCTGATTGGGAGCGGTGAAGTGTAGTGTGAATGGGTGCTAGGCTCTCCAAATGACCACCAAGGGCCTTCATCCTATCCTTTGGGTGCCGCAGTTCCACCTAGTAGACTCATGTTCTCAAGGCGCTCTCTGAGCCAGCAGCTGCCAGTTTCGAGCTGCAGAAGGATCTGGGAATTCCACCCGATCCCCAGCTCCTCTGCTTAAGAAGCCTTTTCCCTGAGCTCGGCCTGCTTCCTTAGCTTCCATTCCAATGCAAACCTGTGGCAACTGCTTTAATAGCACTGCACTATCTGCCTTTACGGGCACGGTTGAAGATCACGTGAGCCAGAAAAAGTGGGGAAATGGCAGGCTGGGCATCTGAGAAAAACATTCCCAACTATTTCTGTGGTGGCTCAGAGCGCCCTCTGGTGTATGAACCCAGTATTATTTCTTCTAAATGTCTAAAACAGGCTTCCCCAGGCTGAGGTCTGTCGCTGATGGGGTTTGTGCTAAGGCACGGTAGTGCAGCCCTTGCAACCCTGGCGGATGGCCAGTGCAACCATCAAGACCAACAGGTCGTGTCCCTGCTGTTAAGGGCGAGTCTGTGCTAGGAAGCAAAGCCCGGGAGAGAACCAAGACGCAAGGCTGAGCTTAAAGGTGAGGAATCACCTGGAGCCAGGATGCCTGGAGGAGCACCTCAGAGCTCAGCGGGGATCCAGCCCCCGCAGGCAGTCTCTTAGCAACCATCTCCTGTACAGGAGTATGTTCTGGCTCAGGCAGGATCTGTGACCCACAGTTCAAGGATCCTGCACACGAGGCGCAAAGACTCCCAGTTCTGGCTCTGCTGCTCCTCCTGACAGCTGGTGAGTTGAGGGCAAATACTTGTCCTTGCATGTCCTGCAAACATGGGAACCCATCCCATATTATTTATTTATTGCATCCCTTTCCGGCCTTTTCTCCACAGTGGCTTACAACTTCCTGCTGCTCTCCATCTTGTCTCCACCACAACAGCCCTGTGAGGTGGGCTGAGCATCTGTGCCTGGCCCAAAGTCGCCCAGCGGGGACCAGGGCCCAGGCCTCCTGAGGCGCGGCCCAGCACGCCTAACCACGGCACCGCTGGCTCTCCAGGGTTGGCCCCTTCCCACCAGCGCGCAGCTGCAACGCATGGCCGCCTACCTTGGGCTGCGTAGCGGCAGGACCCGTCTTCCACCAGCACATTGTAGAAGGGCTGGTGGGGACCGTGTGGCAAGCTGTGGACATTCATGTTGCGAATCCACTCGTGCCCCATCATGCACGCCGGGTCCCAGCCGTAGATCACGCAGTTATAGCCGTACCTGGACGAGGAAGAGGAAGGGGCACACGGCCCGGTCAACGGGCGGGTGCAGTCGGGGGGCTGGCGGGGGCTGCCAGTCCGCGTTGGTAACACTGGGCTGGATGGACCAGGGCCTGACCCCATTCAGGGGAGGGCTCTGCTTCAGCGCGCAGGTGTACCTGGCCAACTGCTACGAGCACCCGAGTGCTGGGCCAGATGCACCTTTGGGTCGACCCGGCTCCCCTTGCGCTTTTTTGGGGGGCGACGGGACAGAAATGCCCCCCCCGCCACATGCACGGGCCGGCGTGGCACAGTCCGTTCTGTCACCTCGTTCTGCTGCATGGGCAGACCGGGAGGGAAACGAGCTCTCGCGGGCGACAGAGCTCCTCCTCTTGGCCCTGCCCAGGAGCAGCAGCTCCAGCGGGGGGGGGGGAGGGAGCAGGGCCCGGTCCGCCAGCTTGGCCGAGGGCCCAGAGTGCGGAACGGGCTGGAACCGGTTCCCGGTGCACCTGCAGCGCTGCACTGCAGCCTGGGCCTGCGGGGATGCTGCGCCAGGACAGCTTCGCTAGCATCCGCCAGCCCCTTCAGGTCTCTCTGTCCTCTCTGAGTTCAGCTGCAATGCACAGCATAGAGCTTCCCCGCAACTCAGGCATTGTCCCTGCTGCAATGCAAAATATTTTATTTATTTATCACATGTCTGTACTGCTCAAGAACTGAAGCTCTCCGGGGTGGCTTGGCCTTCATGGGCCGATTAGACCCATTCACTTCCAAAGAGCAGCTCCTGGGAGAGATGAAAACTCCAGCCTGGTTGCCCGGATTTTTGACCCTCCGTGCACTTTGGAGGTTATCGTTTCATCATGCTGGCTTTTGTTTTTTTGAACTAACGAAGGTTTTTAAAGAAATCTAGAGGCGCTTCCCCCAAGCCCCCGCCGTGCACTGTGCGCTGCACTGTCACCCAATCCTTCCGCATGTGTTGGCCACACCACAGACGGCGGAGCTTTGCATCGTGTCCAAACCAACTAAGAATAATCCTTCAGCACAGAAGTGTTCTGAGAGAGCTAATTTTAACCCTCTCCTTATGGAGAGCAGATGGATAAGAGGCATTTCCCCCCGTTAGCTATTTCCTTCCCAATAAAGCATGCTTGCTCCTCTAGGGATGAGCTCTGCCTGCTTCATCCAAATCTGAGCACCCTTTCTAACAATCAGCAGGGCTGAATCTGGCCCGTGTGCCTGGGGTTCTGCCCCTGATCTAGACATTCGAGGATCCACCTCATGCTGTGGCCCTCTAGTGCTGAACCTCAGCAGACTCAAAGTGCTGCTAGGAACAGATGGGTCGGCTCACCTCTTGTGCTCCATAATTAGGCCGACAGAATAGCAGACGTCTTTATGCTTCTCCTCTGAGCGCAGCTTCACGTCGGGCCCCGCTTCTTCTTTCCGGCGCTCGATGTGCTCTAACGTGTGCTGGACCAAATACCCCACTGCTCCGTGCTGGGAGGGGTCCAGTGCCTGGATGTGCTGCAGGATGTCCAGAACCTTTGGACAAGGAAGCAGAAGTCGCAAGAGGCTGCCACCAACCCTGCTCCCAACCTGAAGCCACAGACAACCACGTGTGCTGAAACGGGGAGTCCCGGCACTGTGAACGGGCTCCAAGCTCTCTGATATTTGCTTTATATCCACCCCAAAAAATTTACTGGGCCTCTAACGATGCACGCTTAAGACCACTGTAAATAACCAACTTGCTATTCCTAAAACACAGCCGGAGTTCCATCAGCAACACAATGCTTATAGAGCAACCAAAGGGCATTTGTCAGTTGGGTAGCAGACCAATCTAATCAACTAATAAAGGAAACAGTAATAAACAGAATTGTGATAGATGTATTAGATAGTTTGCCAGGATGTGGCAAGGCCAAGTTCACGCCGGCTTCCACTTTGCAGAGAAAAGAAAGGGGGCAGTGGAAAGAAAGAAACAAATTCACCTGCTCGCATGCCTTGCAGTCCCTTTGTGGCCTTTGGTATTAAGCTGATCTCAAATGAAGACATACAAGACGAAGTTACCTTCTCTGGCCAGATTCCCAGGTGGAAGTACAGTCTAGCTTGGAGCATCAGATGCTGCACGTTGTCTGGATACATGGCCAGGTACAGATCCAGAGAGTCTCTCAGGAGCTGGTACGACTGATCTGTGCTTTCACTAGCAAAGAGGAACATTCAAGCTCTCTTAGCAGTTTGCAACAGTTCATAAAATACCATCTAGAATATATGCAGCAATAAAATTATCGTGAAATTTCAGTACAGAAATTTATAAACCGGATTTTAAAACAGAATTTAAGCACCTTGAATAACCAAGACAGGTTTCCACAGCAAAACCCGCCCATAGGTCAGGTAAGCCTCAGCAGAGAGCTCGTTCCACCACTGGCGGCTGCCATGAACAAGGCCCCTCTGCCTTGTTACCACCAAGCGAGCCTCACGAGGAGGTGGCAATAGGTGGAAAGGCTTCACCTGCTGAGCACAGTGTCCATGCAGGTTTTGGCTGGGAGGTGTTCTGTCAAGTATAATGGTCCCAAGCTGTGTAGGACTCCATACTTTCAAACCAGCACCCTGCACTGGGTTGGAAACATAGAGGAAGCCAGCGCAAGCAGGCCAGAATTGGTTCGACTGGTTCCAGTTATTAGTCTGGCTGCTCTGTTTTGTGCAAACTGCGACTTCTGAATAATCTTCAAGGGCAGCCCTACATAGACTACATTACAGCGGACAAGCTTGGAAATCCACAGAGTGCAGATCAGCAAAACCAGGCTTTTCCTGTCCAGACAAGGGACGCAGCTGGGCTACCAGCTTACTACGCTCGCAAGACATCCATGATACAGCGGGCTCCAAAAACCTCCAATTCCCCCAAAAGCTCTACTTTGGCTGGGAATGGAATCCAAGTCTCATGCACTTCCTTCTTTCGCTCTTTCTGGGCTGTTGAGAGACACATTCCAAGCTGCCTGAGTCTTCAGGGAAGAGGTTGGGCAGCCGTTTGTATCAGGGATTCTTGCAGTTCGGATGCTGACAAGCATTCGCAGCACTTCTATCAGGCAAGAGAGACAAAAGGACAAATCTAAGAGGATGAGGCACGGTCCAGTTCTGGGTAGGGGGGAGTGGTGCAGTTTGCAACACTCAATTGCACGTGAAGGTAAGAGCAGTTCATTCCTCATGAGCAGCCCTCCTTAGCCAGTCAGGCTTGGAAACGTTTGCTATGCCTTTGTGCACTCGCAGAGCTTCACCGATATCACAAAGCACAATCTTTCCAACAATCCTGCAAGGTAGAGCAATATTAACCCTTGTGCTGTGAATGGAGAGATAAGTGCAAGCAAGAACATCTGACAGTGTTCGTGAAACTGAAGCAAAACTTTCCTAGTTTGCAGCCCAGTCTGTGATATTTTGTTAACAAATATTAATATTTGTCAAATTGTTAACAAAATTAAATTCTGTTAACAAATTGTTAACATTTTGTGAATAACAATTGATTAATTATATTAATAAGACGGTCACTATTTGGTTTGGTAAGGTTTCAGGCCTCCCTGAAGAAAGAACGTGACACTGGACTCTTACCGCTTTCCAATGTTTAGTAAGTTGCCCACCATTCTCTGCAAAACTTCCTTTGCAGTCGCCACACCATAAAACTCCTCCGTCACGTGGTGTCCAATCAGGTATTCGCATTCTTTCACAGTGAGCTGCTTTCCCTTCCCAAAAGCATCAATGTAAACGTAGTCGAAGATGTTTGTGCTTCTGGATAGAATGCCAATACAATAGAAGCTTTAAAAAGTCACGCCTTCCTCCACTGTTTAACTTTTATTATTTAAAAGAACTTTCAGGAAGACAATTTTTTGTTTACGCAACACTGCAAAAAAGGGCTAGAAATATGCGCATTTCCTTGAAATCAAGTCAAATCCGTCTACCAAATAAATTCTCTTTCATTAATGAGTGCACTGGGGAGTTACAGACCAAGGGAACTGCAGAGCGCCAAGCTGAGATGCACTTTTTTAGGATTTTCAACAAGGGTCGTCTTAGTCCTATTTGGAAATGTTGTGGTTTGAACACTAAATCTTCCACATGAAGTACATGTGTGCCACCACCAAGTAATAGCCCCTTCTTCTATTCTTTGGTCCAAAGAGACTGCTCTCCCAATTTGCTTTTTAAAAACCACATACAGCTTGAGGGAAAGGCTGAACTACTATTTTTCAAAAAATTATTAACGTGCCACAACAGCCCTGGGACAGCAAACATAGCGATATAAGGGACCGAAACTGTACAACAATCTAATTACAAAATAAATAAAAAGGAATAAAAGACATTCATTTGGTGAACAAATTGATTAACTTTAAAAGAAAGAAAGATTTAAAATGCCGAAGCTAAAATGAATGTTCTGACTTGGCATGGAAAAGAAAGCAAGGGTTGTGACGTTTCCGTAGAAGGGTATTCCATCACATCATAGAACGGCAGAGCTGGAAGGGGCCTGTAAAACCATCGAGCCCAACTCCCTGCTCAATGCTCAGCTCAAGTTTCTTGGCTGACTTTCAGGGCAGAAGCCTTCCCGAAGTTGCATTCAGCCATAAAATGCATGAAACCAGTTTAGTATGAGATTAAGAGCAAGAAAAACAAACCAGTTCAAGAGCAGTACAACACCAATCCTATGAGGTGAAGGCTGGCAGAAAATGTTTTCAAACGCTGATATTAACACGAGGCAGTGATAACGAGATAACAAGAGCCAGTGTGGCGTAGTGGTTAAGAGCGTGGGACTGGGACTCAGGCGATCTGGGTTCTAGTCCCTGCTCAGCCATGGAGCCAACTGGGTGACTTTGGGCCAGCCACAGGCTCTCAGCCCAACCTACCTCACAAGGTTGTTGTTGTGGGGATAAGATGGAGGAGGAGAATGATGTAAGCTGCCTGGAGCCCTTTGTAGGAAAAAGGCAGGATATAAATCGAGAAAATAAACAAATATTGGTGGAGCATGGTAGATTCCTTAGGGCAAACCACATGCAGAGCTGTTGTACAGAAGGTTTAGTCTAGCTAAGCTAAAACCAGCCCGAAGCTGGGCTCAGAAATACACTATTAACACAAACTGCCAAGCGTGACCCAGGTCAGACTAACTCTGACAGGGTCAGCTGTTTAAAAGCCTTTTTTCCCGTATTGAAATCACCCTGCCTCTCCTCTCACAGAAGCTATTTGCTCCCTGGGGGTAGGTGGGGGAAATACAGGTGCCTATATCTTGCCCCCATGGAGCAGCCCTGCACGCAGAAGAAATCCCGCGGCTCAGCTTCCCAGCCTTGAGATAACACCACTGCAACCCTTCCTTGTCCGAACTCTTCAGGATATTGCACAACCCAGGCCCACCTAGTGCCGTTTGGAAGTCTCCATGGTGAATCCACCGAGCGCAAATATACTTTCTATGTGAGCATCAGTCTCCAGCAATCATTTTTGTAGGCCGGCATGAAATAACATGACACTGAAATCACAAAAACGGTAACATGGAGCGCTGGGAGAACTGGCCACCCTTCACTCCAGACAGCTGCGCTCTGACGGCCTCACAACATCAGCGGGGCCCTCCGCGAATGCATTTATACGCTCTGGTTTGTGTGCTGGCCAGCCCGGACAGTTAATGAGTGTGTGCCGCAATACTGTTGATGAGCGACTTCCATCGGGCGAGTGGCAGGGCTTTCTAATTGAACGCAACCATTTTTCTTGGACTGCTGGAACACCCCCCTCCCCTCCTCCCCACTCGCCATTACTTCATCATCTGGCATGGTTTCGGGTAGCTCAGAAGTGGAAACATGGGATGCTTCGACATCGCACTGCCTGAGCGCTTTCGCCATCTCAGAAGGGCAGGAGGCGCGTGGATCTTTGAAAACTTACCCTTCCGTCCCTTGACACCATCGGAGCAGAAAGTGGCTGGGGAAGTTGACTGGCTCGAGCTGGACGCCCAGCTGCCTGGCGATGGTCAGATAAAGCACTGACAAGCTGATTGGGATTCCCGTCCTGTGGATCAAAACCTGGAAGGAAAAGCGAGCCAGCAATGAGAAGCTTATACAGGGCAGGTCTTTTGAGATGGGATTATGTATCTGGTTTTGCTTTAAAGAGGAGGGGGAGATCAGTTGACAGTCGAACAGCACAAAGGATCGCTCTGTGCTTCAGAAGCGGAACACAAAAGGCTCTGGAAGGCCGCCAGCAAACGTGCGGAAAGTCATCATGACAGAAAGTCGACAGCAATCTGTCCCCGCAGGGTGCTAGGCTGCCCTGGCACAGACGACATGCGTCTGTATGCAGCGCTGAAAAAGACAGTGTGTGGCTTGCTTCCCCAGTTCGATTCGTATGGGCAAGATAAGCTTTACCTGGCGGATGTACGAATTCAGAGAATTGTAGTAGTCCACCTCGTTGCCTTTGTATTTCAATTGCTCATAGAGGACGTAGTTCAAGGCTTCCAGAACCTGCCTTTGCAGATCCACCTGAGTGATGATCAAGGCCTCTCCTGAAATGCGACGACGACAGGCAAATCAGGTGACATGCAAGAGCGTCTCAGAGACTATTCCGACTCTCAAGAGGAGGGAGAGCAGGACCGTGTTCTCTGGCCCCACCCACTGGTCCTCGGCCTTCTGGGGTGGTGGCAACATTTGCTGTTTGGCGGGCACGTGTTCCGGGTGCTCTCACAAAACGGCTGCTTGGACATTCACCAAGTGAAGGCCATGCTGTGCCACAAGAACACTCATCTCCCAGGAGGCAAACAGGTAAGGCTAAATGAAGCTGACCTTCCCAAGATCCCAACTCTGCTGAACCCAAATAAAGACGGCGCTGGAGGGCGACAGGTTGCCTGCACCACTGGCAGCGTCCATCCTGTCTTTGCCTCTACCTGCCAGTTTGCCTCCCTGTTCTACTCTGGCCACCAGCTTTCCGGGGGCACCTGAAGGACTAGCCAAGGGCTCCGTTTCATCCAGTGCCCTGTTCTTTGCAGTAGAGCAGAGGAGAGATGGGGTGATTCAGGTAAGGAGGCAAAGGTTGGAACCTCTCTGCACTGCTCGCCCTGTCAGGTTAGTCTGACCCTGGCCATGCTTGGCTGTTTGGGCTACTGGTGTGTTTCTGAGCCACGTGTCAGCGGCTAGTTCTGATCTTTAAAGCCTTCTCTACATTGGCCCCAAGGAAAGCGAAACAGCCATGGCCAAGATACCAGCTTATTTTACCACAAGGCTTTTATTGTCAGTAATGCACTGCGATAAAAGCTGGAAAACACACATTACCCTGGAGGCCGCCACCGGTGTGTCCAGACGAAGAACCGCCCGCTCAGGATCTAAATCAAGTCCTCTGTCATTCCCCTGGGGGCCACACCCTTTCCCCCAACCACCAAAAGGCGGACTGCTCCCCCCGTTCCCATGCACCCTATTTTTTTCTGCTAGCCCACTCCCTCTGCCTCCTTTTTCTGTCTTGCCTCTTTCTCTCCGTTTCTCAATTGCTGCCGTGAGTTTCATCACCACTGCCTTAGCGCATCGCCGGTACAGGCTACAGAGACATTATGGATCATAAATACCTGCTTTGGGGGCCACACTCGGATGCCTGGAATTTTTGGATTTCAGGAATTGGCGTACTTTGGCAACGATATCATCGATCTGGGCCTGGACGCCCGCTAGGCTGATATCGGTCAGCGGGTTGCAGTACTGGTCAATCAGGACAGCCCCTAGAACAAGTCAGAAGAGACCCAGGACAGGGCCTTTTAAAAAAACGCACAGCCATCAATCGGACTATTGTCTTCCCATCAAAGAAGGATTTCTGCTACTGCTGTTGAGCTATGCACATGACACATTCCCTAAATTTTCTCCTCATCTTGCTGGCTCTTTCTACTTCTAAGAAAGCCAGTGTGGTGCAGTCACGAAGAGCGCTAGACTGGAACTCAGGAGACCCGGGTTTGAGGCACCACTTGACCTGGAAGCACACTGAGAGATGCTGGGCCAGTCACCAGACCTCGGCTTAATCTGCCTCGCACGATTTGGTCTGATGGCAAAATGAAGAGGAGGGGAATCTGTAAGGCAGTGTGCAAGAGGCGAAAACGAGGGGCAAAATGTACAGAAATAACAACACTCCGGTTCTCTTTGGTTCTTCTTTCCATTCCAAATTCAGGGCATTCTATGGACATCTCCTACTTTTTAGAATATCAGCACAGCTTGTTCTTGTTTGGTCACTGATGTGTCTTCAAGAAATTAAACAATGGTTTAATTTCATCCTCTCTAACAGACCATACAAATGGTTAAGCGGCTAGCAGATCTGAAGTGTGATTGGGGCATCCAGAAATAATGGTTTCTAGGTACTCGGGGACTCTCTTGGTACACGGAATGCATCTGCGAGCAAGGAGGAAAAGAGAATCCGAACATGCCTGTACGCACCCCTCTTGCCCTAGAAGAAAATGTCCTGAGAAGGTCCTGCAAGCTCTAAACTAGGCACTGAAAAGCAGAATAGAAATATTGTACCTAAGAAACAAACAAAAAAAATATTGTAGCTAATAAACAAAAAATGCTTGAGCCATGTAGCATATTTCATGAAGTTGCAATCGGATCGAGCAAGGAGAGGAAAATCCTTTTGTTTGAATTACTTGGAAGAACCATGTGGCTAAGCAGATTGGCCAGGAAAGCCAATTGGAAAGGTGGGATGGAGCAGGGCATTCCCATGACAGAGCGATCACCACTTCCTGAGATCGTTGGGCTCACGGCAAGCAGGGTGGGCAGGCGGGATTCCTCACCCCGTTTCCCCCAGACATCTTCCCTGCTGCTCTCTTCCACCTTGCACTGAAGGGCAGAGAAATGGCAGGGCTGAGGGTTCCCTTTGAGGGCATGTTGTCTTAGAGTCCTGGGAATGTCTGACCGTCCCGACGGGTCCCGTTCTTCCCCAACCACACCACCAGGATGCCTGGAGTACGGAGCTCCCTACAGAAGCACTGGAAGAAATTCCCTTTCCACCACCACCTTACTCAGCCATTTTTTTGCAAGGTGGCACCCTGACCCTGGACTGTATGAGCAGCAACAGTGAAGAAAAGCCAGGAGATATGTGGAACAAACCTATTTCAGAAGCAACATTAGAGAACAAAGAAGGAGCGTTTTTGAAAACTGAATATATGCTGGAGCCCAGGTTACTGGCCTATCATTTATGGAAATGTACTTAGTTGCTCCCCACATCTGTCAATGAAGTTGAGATCCAAATCGCAGAATTTCGACAAGGGGCATGGATTTATGTTAGAAACAGATTATTACTTGCTATCACCCCCGAGCCTCTACACACCTTCCAGAAAAGATTGTTCCTCAGCTGGTTGTTGGAGATATGCCTTCAGTTTCTTTAGAATGTTTTGTTGCCGCAGGTAGTAAAGAATTTTCTTTGCATAGTATTTCCACGTCAGGGCTTTTCTGCAGAATGAAGGAAACCATTGTGGTGAAGAACTGCTTAGAAGAATACCAGAAGAATGGGGAGTGGCAGACCATGAACACAAAGGGAAAATCTTACATTGAGTTTATTAGAGGCTATTCAGGCATACAATTGGAGGGACAATGGGGCGAGCGAAGGACAAAGCAGGACCTTATTAAAACAGTTCACTATCTCAGTTGATGTTAGACAATGCTGCCCCTGAAGCAGGATTTTATCTTTGCCACAAAATGCTTAGAGGAACTACAGTGTGGTTCAAACGCCTCATGTTGGTTCACCATATGCCACATTAATAGCTTAATAAACTCTGAATATACACAAAAGCAGCCGGAATATGAAAGGGCTAATCACGCATGTAATAAAGAGCAAAGGACACACTTCAGCTATTACTCTGTGCACAAGAACTGCCCGCATGAGCATAATAAACAAAAGATGTTTTAAAAACCAGATCATTGTCTGCCGCACAATCAGAGGATACTGTACTGCAGAAGGCAAGAGAAAGATGCACCATGGAGAGCAAGAAACAAAACCAAGACAATACAGAGTGCAAAGTGGGGAAAGTTTTGATGTGTTCTTTAAAAAGCCCCTCTTGTCAAGACAAAAGGCTTAACAGCCTTCCACCTATGAGAACATTCATGCCACCTCAGACTTTTCTAAGAGGCCATCCTTGAATGAAAGGCTGCCAGCCAAATCAGTTAACCAACGCACAAGCCTAGGCACCCTGCTGCTCTCCGGTTGTTTTGACTACAATCTCCATCAACTCCAACCAGCGGTCCCAATGGTCAGGGATCATAGGAGATGTAGTTCAGCCCAACAGACTCCTGACTTGGCTCCTTGGCTTCTCCTGACTTGGCTAACTCATCTCGTGTCAATTAATATGCACACATTTGCATACGATAACAAATGCAGGCCCTGCTTTTAGATGCCCTGCAGCAAGCACTGTCCTAGGAAAGGCACTCTGTACTCTCCTCACACTTAGGATGGGAATCCTTTTATAAGGCCCCTCTTGTACACCAGTGGGGTGCAGGCATTGGTGTTAAACTAGGTCTGGGAAGACTCAGGCTTAAATCCTACAGTGCCCACTGGATGACCTTAAACCTGTCTCGCCCTCAGCCTAATTTATCTCGCGGGGTTGCTGTGTGGATAAAAACCGGGGTAGGTAATTTGGCACACTGTGCAGAGAGATTTTTTTGAAATATAAGCAGTATATACATCTATTAAATAATAAACACACCACCTTGAGCTTTTTTTTAGCAAAAGGTAGACATAAGTACATAAATGCTATTAGTTAGATTTCTAATCTTTAACAACTGAAATTGCAGTATGGTTTTGTGGTTTGGGAAGAGCAAACAAAATCCAGGCATTGGACCCATGCTGGAAATGCAAAGACATCCGCATCTTTCTGCACCTTGCTCTTCACAGGTAGCCTTACCGTCCTTCCATGTTAAGGACTGACATCAGTTCGTCCTCAAAGAAATGGCTTGGGCATTCCAGAGTTTCAACATCACTGAAGCCATCACACGGCACCTGGCAAAAGACCATCCTGTCACTACACGGCTAAGCAGCTTTCCATAGCGAACACTTTTAAACGTATTCAAAGTAACCGAAAGAAAAGAAAAAGAAAAATCACACATGGGATGGGTTACTCACTTGACGCTAAATAGATAGCATCAAATAAAGCCACTAGGTTCAAATAAAGCCAAATAAGAGTTTGAAGCGCTCCTAAAAAAATCTGGGTAAAGGATACAAAAGATTGGTTTTTTCTACCTTGTTGAAGTTGCTTGCCAAAGCACCTCTCTTTGCCACACACTCCCCTATCTAAGGGCAACAAAAAGAGTTCCTTAGATGAACAGGATTTTTTTTTTTTTGCCATTGAACAGTATCCAGTCCTGCGGGGGGTGCGCCTCAGAACAGGGCACCTCTAAAAACAAAAGCTGCCCTTAATACCAGCTGTATCACAAACACAGTGGCATATATTCAAAGCTGCCTTAGCATGGATAGAAAACACTTCTGGTTGCACAAGAAGGACATTCTCTGAATACCCCTCCTTTGGAGGTTTCCCTCTCACCATTTGCTATTCTTTTCTGGACTTCAGGAGATTTCCAGAGGGTGCCTGGAAATCACAGAAGGAAGCAGGAAAGTCCTGTCTCTCAGGATCTCAATGTACCGATTTCTGAAGTCTTTGCAGAATAGTTACAAGAACTGAAAGTAAAGATTCACGTGCACAATTGTATTGCCAGATAGGCAGCAGTCCCTATTAAGCAATACGGTATCATTTTTGGTGCTATCTTAATCCTCAGTGTCTTAGAGATGCCCCTGGACGGGCCATGCATCATCTCAGCCAAGGCCAGGACCTGGCTCTCCTAAGGCCATCTTCTGAGGGAAGGCAAGAGAAGGGCAAAAGGAAGAGAGACTTGAAAAACAGCTAAGGAAAATTCCCAGAGGCTCTTCCCTGGATGCTGCCAGCCACAATGGTGCGCCACAGGGCTGCAAGGGAAGCCACAGGCACAATGGCGCAAGCCACATGCCCTTTCTGCAGGGTCCCCACTGCCTGGTCTGTGCGATCCCATTTCCAGGTGGACCACCTGGCCTCCTTACTGCATATAGTTAGATGACCTTGCTCTTCTATCTGGGATTTAATCTATGGGATACAGCTTGAATTATTACCGTCACAACTGTCTTGTGAGGGTTTTTATTATCTTTAATGAAATCGATACGTTAACTTTTGATTATATCTGTATTTTCAACACTGAATTTAATATTTTGGTTATTATTTTGCTGTTTTCAGAATTGTATACCATCCTGAGGGCACCTGCCAGTTGGGCACTATAATAATAGAATGCAGCATTTAAAGTAAGAGATGATGATGCACAAGATTACTTTTGAGATAAACGAGAAATCTTACGTGCTCTGAAAAGAACCTTCTGGAGAACGATGCTACAATTCTCTGAGCTTCCAAGCCAGCTTTATGCCTTTCTTTGTAGCCCTCCAGCCAATTCACGTTATCTGTCTGGCTGTAGTATTTCATTAATGATGGCCACCTACATAAGAGGCAAATAACAATACAATAACTGACGTTTCAAGCCCTCGTGCAGTAGCTCAAAGGAAGAACAAGTGCCTGACTCTCAGCCTGGCAAAACCGGGTTGCAACCTGCTAGCCCTCCCCACAAAACAACAGGATAACAACAAGCAAACCAACCCTCCCTCACCTCCAGTTCATTTCCCCTTCATTAGTTTTAGATTTGCTGCAGAGGGATAACAATAGAAGAGCTCATTTGTCAAGGGAAAACAGCAACATAAGATGTGTTAAGTTTTCAGAGCTGGCTACTGATCACACACAAATGGCTTGGTAGGGAAGCATTCATCTTCCATTGAGCTCAGCAAAGCTATTATTTTCCGAAATCAAAGGAACAAGCAGAGCCATCCAGACTTTCAGATTACAGATCTCTTCTAATTAGATAAAACAGCTTGAAGGCAAGCTTCTGGGGCAGTCGAGTTTGAGAAGATTCTCCCACAGCTTCCTTCTTATTCTCCTATCCACAGGAAAGGCTTTTCAGCCAAAATGCAGCAATGCCTTAACTGCCTAAAACAGGTTAAAAAAGAAACTACCTGCTGGGATTCCGATTCCCACAGGCCAGGGACTTTCAAATTACTTCTATAAGGAGGGAACAGCCAGGGCACCCAAGCACTGTCAAAGAAAAGAGGAAACTGAATGGCAACTTATCGTCTCTTGCTTAAGGGACGCTTTGCATGCAGCTCGGCCCTGATGCTCAGATCTCCACCTGGGGCAAATGCTGGGTGCAATTCCCTGTGCACAAGCAGAGCTGCCCACGCAACTAAGCCCAATGCCCACTGTGTGTATCATCTCCATAGCCACTCCGCTTCTGATTAAGACCTTGGAGAAGCAGAAATCAGGCTGGGAAGGGGGGATGGTGTCTGCATGGAGACACCTTTAGGAGAACAGGCACCTGTCTTGTACCTAGCCACACCACTAGCCATCTTGGTATCCCCTCAAGCCCAATATTGCCTGACTCTGACTGGCAGCCTCTGGCAGCTCTCAGGCAGATGTCTTTTTCAGACCTCCCTGGAGATGCAACTTGGGACCTTTTGGCACCAAAAGCACAGGCTCCACCCGTGAGCCAAGGCCCATCCCTTAAACCAGCCTTCTCCAAGCTGGTGTCTTGGAAGTGCTGGGCCCCACTTCCACTATTTCCAGCCTGCATGGCTGAACAGTCTGGGAATTCTGGGAGCTGTGGTCCAACACATCCAGGGAGGTGTCCCAAAGGATTCTGTGCATCCCTGCCTTATACAGAGGCAAGCCAATTGGTCCAGCTAGCTCAGTGCACCAGCTTTTCCCCAGGGCGGTGCCCCCCAGACCTTATGGACTATAGCTCTTATCAACCTTAGCCAACAAGGCCCACAGTAAGTGATGCTGGGAAATGTAGTCTAAAACACCAGAAGGATACCACATTGGAGAAGGCTGCTCTGTGCTTACTGACAGCTGCCCTCCAGAGCGTCAGGCAGAGGTGTGTCCCAGCCATGCTCAGACATACCACATGCAATGCCTGAACTGGATGCTCTGAGGCCTTTTGGTGGTACAGGGTGGGCTTCCGCTCCCGCTTTGCAGGAAAGTATCCTTGGAAAGAGCACGGTCTTACTCCCAAATATTGTTTTCTGCTTTCTGAATTCAGTGTTGGAAACCAGGTAATATTTTATCAAATAAACAAGACAAACAAACAAGCCTCTCTACCAAATCGAGGGCAGGCATGGGTCAGCTGCTGAGTGGTACAGGCGTAAATAACTGCAGCAGAGCTTTGGTTATTGCTCTGTGTAAAAATGAAATAATAAGCATGATAATGTGCTCTGTCCTTACAGTGCCAGACAATATTCTTGGCTGGCTAGTGCTGAGAGCTGGTAAGACAAAGGACAGGGCAGAAGGAATTAGCCTCAAAGGACACATGCCCTGCGGCTGCTCGATCATGCCCCTGTTCCTCCTGGGTGTGGGGAAAGAGAAAAAGAACAGCTGAGGGTCTAGCCTTCATCCTTGCCAGGAAATGTAGGGCCTTTCACTAGCTCTCAACTCCCCATGTGTATCAGACACAACAGATATGTGCCAACAGCTGCCCCTGTGGCAGCAGACCCAAACCTATGTTTAATTTCTGGTGGAAAGAGGAGGAGGAAAGACTAAACCATCCAGAAGTGGTCTGTAATTCTGGACTGTTATCTACTATGTCTCTGGTGCCTTGAAAGCATCTGTGGATGAATGGGTGCACCTGCCTAAGTCAAAAGGTTTTCTAGAAATAAACTGCAGTATAATACCACCTAAGAGGTGAAGCCTATTGTAGGGCGCTCAAGCCAACCTGCGTGCTTTTCCTCCCTTAGCAAAGCGATGAGAATAAAGGGATGCACCAGAAGGTACAGATCCAGACGGACCTTATTTGTCAGCTTTGGAACAACCACTGACTGAATGTATTTTTAGAATGAGAAGGGAAGCAGGTGCTATGATAGAAACCACGAGATTTGACAGTTGCAAAATCCACGCAGGGGTCAGTAAAGGATTAGAGACTATTAATGAAAACAACAGCTGCAGATTGTGGGTTATTTACGAAGCATTTCACACATTTCTCAGTAACAAGCCTGTATTTAGGAAGCTGTTGTGTTTGAGAGTGGGTGCAGAAGGGTTTGTGTGTGAGAAAAAGCAAAAGGAGGAGACGAGGGGAGGAGACTGTTCTAGAATGATGCCTGCCAACCACAGTTTAAGCTCTTACGCTAAAAGTAACTGACAATTAAAAATTATCTGCTACCCAGTGAATTGAGGGCATGAAGGGCTGCAGGGTGAAAAGGTTTCTTAAATGATGACTTGGTTATTCCAAGCTTACAAATAAGCTTACAAACAAGGTTTTTCCTGAGCAAATGAGGTGAGCAATCCCAAGCGTAGATCATGGGAAACATTACAACCAGAGCCCTGCTTGCAAGAGCATTAGCAGCAAATTGCACAAAAATTGAATGCAGTCTCAAGCTGAGCTCTGACAATTATGGACTGGGCAGACACTGTTTAAGTCTACAGCTTCCAGACACGAAGATGATCTGGAACAACTTACAGCTCAGGGAGAAGATAAATTGCTGCTTAAACTAGGCATGGTGTTCTCTCTGGCTTATGTATGCCTGATATTTTAGAAATACAAACTTGGGACCAGAATACCTCACTGACTGCCCCTCTATATGCCAACAGGATACTCTCCCACTTGTGGTCCAAGGTGGAAACTGTGGGAAGCCCACTGAAGACACACCTGCTTATTCTAGCCTTCCCAGAGGTATAAGAACACTGCTTTGTTTGACTTGTGTTTGCAATGGTTTTATGTTTATTGTTTCGGCAATGGTTTTATATTATGTTTTTATGGAACCTGCTTAGAGTGTGGACTGGTATTTAAGTATTTTAAATAAAGATATAAATAAAAGCTGGCTGGCTGGCTGGGTGTGTAGCTGGGCTGAATTGGGATCAGAATAGGGACAAAAGGTGAAAGTCTCCATACCACCAAAATTATGATTTTGAACAATATGCATAATACTAGCCCATATCTAGGCTGATTCCAGTGCAGTATAAAGTATGAAGCTAAACCAGATACAGGAATTGAAACAATGCATTAAAAATACGGTAACATTGGGCTCAGGCCAGCCGGAGTTGGTTATTTATGAAAAAAGATTAGCTACATGTAAGCTAGAGAGATAAGTAACGCTACATCTGCTTGGCCCTATGTTAGGGAAGACATGTTACATACAGGAACACCACTATACATAATTTCACATCAACATGAATTGCAATGACACTGTGTAATAGTGCTGTGAACAAGCACAGTGACAAGAGTCCAGGATGCCAATTTCCAAGCACAACTTGGACAAACATATACATCTCTGTCCAAATGCAAAGCACAACTCGCAAGTATTCGTCCTCTCACTTACATACGCAGTGACTGCTAGAGAATTGGACAGATTTATGTAAATTTCTGCTCTTGGCCTTGTTTGGAGAATAGGCGAAGTTCTTGTGTGGCCTGGCTTTGGCAAAAGAAGACAAGTTTTCTCACTCTTTCCAACTGCCAGTTGGCCCGTGAAACTCAGGCTCAACCGTTCAAAGGAAGAGAATATTCTCTCTGCACCTGCGAAAGAGGCAGCTGAACAATAGACAGTTCACCAGTTCAGCAAGCTATAACTCTGGGTTGCTTCCCAGGCCGCGTCTGCAATTCAGAGTTCAGCTTTAGCATGTCGGCAGCCAAGTTGGATCTTTCAAAGATTCAGATCTGACTGCGCGAGCTACTGTGGGCTGGTGATAAATAGAGGCTTGTGTTCCAAAAGCGGCCCTTTCTTTGATCACCGGACTGTTTTGGCAGGAGTGGCGATATTGACCCCGTTACTCTGGGCCAGACTCCATCTTGAGTAATTACATCCAAGTGTCTTAAAAGCCCCACTGCAATTTCATTTGGAGGAGTTATGCTCTACCCGCTACCCTAAAATAAACAGTTGCTGTTATAATGTAACACAGCATGGCCCTGCTCCAACGGAAGGTCTGTTTCCGCCAAGTTTGTGTTTGCCCTGGTAAATTCATCTGCCGAGTGGCAGAAAGCAATGATGCAAGCAGGCAGGTTATGCACACCACAAGCACAAACAAGGTTCACTGCACAACACATTGCTATCTGCATTGTCTTTCACAAACACAAAACAAAACAAAACAAAACAAAACAAAACAAAACAAAAGGAAGCCTGTCCTTGCTGTCATCTTCAAGCTGGTGATGAACAATAACAAAATTGTTCACCACTTTGGAATATGCTTAGGTGAGGTGCAATATAAAAATGTTGGAGATAAATAAATAAAATGCAAAAGCCTGCACAGCTTTAAAGAGAGATTGACCGTGTCTTAACTAGTGGCGAGTCCGTGATTTGGGAAAGGAAAAGTTCCAGAACAGACTTCTTCTTATGCTTTATTTTCCTGGGGATAATTTCCTGTGTCTCAAGTTTTTTAATAGCAAAGAATGGGTGCCAAATGCAAATATGATAATATCAGGCAAGTTTGGCCATTTCAAAGTTATTGATTAGATTTATATGCCACCTTTTTCTTTTTTAGGGTTGGGGTTATGCTTACACCATTCTCCTTCTGCTGCTCTCAATCTTATTTCCACAACAACCCTGTGAGGAAGGTTGGGCTGAGAGTCTGTGACTGGCCCAAAGTCACCCAGTTGGCTCCATGGCTGAGCAGGGACTAGAACCCAGATCCTCTGAGTCATCTGAGTCCCAGACCCATGCTCTTAACTGCTACACCACACTGACTCCCTTGTTGTAATAATCTTTTCCAGGGGATTATCCCTAACAGATTTGAGAGTGAATAAAAAACATATACATATCAGAGTGAAACTAATAATGAATGCCAGCAAAAGGGAAGGTGCCCCAACAGTCTCAATGGAAAAGAGCTTCATCTCATATTGGTAGACCTGGCGAAATACATGAGTGGTCCATCAAGGTATCATACACAGTTCTTTGGGTTGAAAAAACTGACTAGTTCTGCCTTCCCCAACACAGTGCCCTCCAGAAGTGCAGGTCTATAACTCCCAGAATCTTCAGCCAGGTGCAGGGAAGGTTGAATTATTTGTCAATTCTTCTAGATATATTTGTTTCTTTCGTGTATTTAACCCACATAAGGAAAGCACATGCTGGTCTCCTTACATCGTATGCATTTCAATAACAATATAATTTAACATTTAAATCTCATTAAAGGTACAATGCTGTGCATGTTTAGACAAAGAGTCTACAATTTCCAGCATGCTCTAGTTAGCATGGAGAATGCCGGTTAGCTCAAGGCCTCTTTTCTGTTCACACATGTGCAGCATCGTACCCAAGGCTGTCCCACTTTCTGGGGTCCTTCAGTCCCAGTGCTGAGACTCCAAAGGCTGAGTTTTTGCTCTGCTCCCCACAGTTGCAGCTGGGCCTTGAAGAGGGCAAAAGGGCCGTGCAGGGGTGGGGAAGCTGTGACTGATGGCTAGCACCCATTCACATTAGCACCCCAGCCTCCTTCGCTTCCTGGCAGTTTATCTAGCTGGCTGAAAATGGCTAAATACCTGATAAAACACACCAGCATGTCTCCTCATTTCATGCACACGATAAACAGAATCCACCAGGTTTGGATGCTTACAAGGTGTGGGGCGCTGGCCTATACCCTCACTGTGCTTTCATGTTTCCCCCTCAGTAGAGAGACAAAATTTTAACATGCTGTACTTTTCTGCTTCATTGTTTATTTGACTTGCATCTAGTAAACATGCTAAATTAAATCGCTTTCTCATGATTTGCCAGTTCAACCTCAAAATGTCCTGACACAAACAGATCATTTTCCTAAGCAAAAGACCCTATACAAATTAGTTGAGTTTGCACCAGAGCGTTTTCCATAAAACACCTATCATTTGTGGCCCAGAGCGCAGGCCTAAGAGCACTACTCCAAGAACCGATACGGTGCATAGTGAAAATGCTGGACTGGGGCTGAGGAGACCCAGGTTCTAGTCCCAACTCAGCCAGGAAACTCACCGGGGGACTTGGGACCCATCACTGACTTCCAGCCTAACCTGCCTCACAGGGTTGTTGTGAGGATAAAACAGAGAGGAAGAAGACAATGTAAGCTGCCTTGGGTTCCTTGAAAGAGGGAGACGCTGGGAAATAAATGTAACTGAAATAATAACAACAGTAATAACAGGCTAGGATAGGCTAGACATGCACATGGTAGGCATGTTGTAAGTGGAGCCAGCTGGAGCCAGGGGTCAGACTAGACGGCCTGGGAGACCCCTTCTGACTCGCTCTGTTTCTATGCTTCTAATAATATTAATGAGACCTGGGGTTCTGTTCCCACTCACTATGCTGCTCACTTTCAGCCACTCAGCAACTCTCAACCTCACCTACCCCAATGCTTGAAGAAATTGTCAGTGCAGTGCAGGGAGGACAATGCCATTAATCAGAAGGGTCACATTAGGACCACTTGCCTCCAACCCTGAAATGGGTTACCCATTGACATCAGACAGGCCTCCACAGTTCTGAAGTCTTCTCAAAAGTCATCTGTGTGACCCAGCCAGCACACAGAGGAGTGCATGGTTTTATTCCTGATCGGTTTAATAACTGTATCATAAAGCTTCCATTTAATTATGGTGGAGACAAAACAGCATTTGGGATATCATGCGTTCTTCTGGTCATCCCATCTCCAGAAGGATATTGTAGGGCTGCTGTGGGGCAACAGATTAAGAGGAAAGACTCAGCTGTGTATGGCTTTTCATTTCTCCATTCATCCACCCATCTCTCTACTAGCAGAAATGGCACTCAAACCAGCTAGCAATAGCACTATTATGAATTATGTCATTTCTATACAGCTGAAACACTTCCAGTAAAACGGAAGTACAATGTAAGAACAGACTGGTACCACCGTTAGTACCACCTGCCAATGAAAACAGAACACCCAACCAGATGAGAATCCCCTCAAACCACGACCCAGCTTAAATGGTCTGCCCAAATAGGAACAGAGTTACCTTTCAGTGGAAAGGAAAAAGAGAACAAATATCCTTACTGCTGAGTCATGTGTTCTTGGACCGAAAACCTTTGCAACCCCAAAACTGCTCCTCTGCCCCACCACAAATCATTGCTATTTATTTCAGCTAGTCTGAGCCTGAAACTGCAGCCCCTGCAAGGCTGCACACTCTGGTCATGTTGAGAAGCACCCATGTTCCTGATATTTCTGGTACGGCTGCTTCGTATACTCCAGGACCTGAACACCCTCCTGGGCCCTGGCCACTCCTCCTCTTCTGCCTGCACACATAAATCCCACTACAGTAACACTCCTACGACAGCTTCATGTGTTCCAGGGCCTGAACATCTCGTCAATGAAGACTCTTTCTGGGCCCAAGACTCCACATGTCTTATTTTCCCAGCAAAATGTGCCACACTCAGGAGAACTGTCTGCTTGACAACGCTCCAGGACCTGAAAAGCTCGGCAACAACTCAAGCCGCCACGCCTTTGCCCTATTTCCTCACCCAAACTCCACCACGCACAGTCACTAATTATGTAACATCACTTGCTGTTACATGTACTCCAGGATGTGAAGACCCCAGCAACAAAGACAGAGCCCTGGTCTTTTCCTGCGATTCCTTTCTGGCTCAGAGAAGCTCTTGTTACTACTGTTGCTGCATGCGCTGCACCTGAAAACTTCAGCAAAGATAGAAAACGCCAATTCATCCTTCCATGTCTCCCCTGCACTCTACCCATGCCCAGAAGCATTATCTCCCTAACATCACTATTGCAGCGATGTGGTCTAGAAGCCATAGCAATGACTGAACACTCCACCACTCAGAGGTATTTTCTTCCTAAGATCACTGCAACTGCATGCCCTGGACGCTCGTGCAATAACTGAGCACTCCCGCTGGACCTCCTCTGCACTCTGCCCATGCTCAGGGGCGCTCTCTTCCTAACATCACTCGCGAACTGCGTGACCTAGAAACTTTGGCAACAACTGAACATGCCTCCCTCGCTTCCCCCCCGTTCTGTCCATGCTCAGAGCCACCATCTCCCCAAAATCACCACGACAGCTGCATAACCTGCCATGGCGGAACACTCTGCCGGGGCAGAAACGCGCGATCGCCCCAGCTTGGCCGCCGCTGCGCTGCAAGCCCTGGGTCCTGAGCCGCGGCCCGGAAGGCACCTCCCGCTCCCCTCCTTCCCCCGAACGCGCTGCCCATGCTCAGAGGCACTCGCCCGAGCCGCCCGCCTCTCAGCGCCCTCCCTGCGGGCCAGGCCAACCCGGCCCCCCACCTGCGTCGGAACTGCTCCCGCCAGACCTTCCCGTGGGGCTGGCAGGCCTCCCTCAGGCGGCGGCAGGCGCAGGCGAGGCGGCCCACGTCGGCGGCGCGCAGCGAGCCGCAGCACAGGATGTACTCCAGCAGCTCCCCCGGCAGCTCCGTCAGGGTGAGGGGCCGAGGGCCGGGGCCCGGGGCCGCCCCCTTGGCCTCCGGCTCGGGCTCGGGCTGCGGCGGCGGCGGGTCCGTCTCCTCCCGGTCGAAGGACGACGACGGCGCCGCCATCTTGCCCGCCCGCCCGACTGGCCCGCGAGGGAGCGTCTGCAAAGAGGCGACCCCGCGCGCCGCGGAGGAGGAAAGGCAGGCCGGCCGCAGGGGCCGTCTGCAAACTCCCAGCTTCGCGGAGAGGCGCACGGGCGCCGGTGCTGCCCCGCTCTAGCTGATCCGCACAGCGATCCTGCGAGGCAGGCTCGGGCGCGAGCGAGGCCGTGACTGGACTAAGGCATCCAGTGAGGCTCGCGGCTGAGTGCGGAACACAACCCAAGTCCCTCTATTAGCGTCATCACATTTATATCCCATGTTTTCCTCTTTCAAGGAGCTTAAGGAAGCTCACACAGTGCTCTCCTTTCTGTTTTACCCACACAACGACCCTGTGCAGTAGGCTATGTTGGAAGTTGTCGGCTGGCCAAAAGCGACCTTCCTGGCTGGGGTTAGAACTTGGGTCTGCTCAATCCGAGGCCAACATTTTCACCATTACTGGGATGGTGCTCTTGGATCTGGAGGTCAGACTTCCAAGGACTGGTGAGGCCCTTGGAAAACTGCTCCATGTTATTCCTGTACTCATGGTGGCTCTATGGTTAAGTGAGGCTGGACGTGCACATGGTGGGCATGTCGTGAGCGGAGCCGGCTGGAGCCGGGGTCAGACTAGATGGCCCGGGAGACCCCTTCTGACTCGCTCTGTTTCTATGTTTCTATGAGTTTATGATATGAAAGTGCATTAGCTTGGAGTATTTTAGCTCTCCCCTTCTGGGTTGGCAAACCATTTTGTTGCTCTAATATATGTGGAATGTCGAAGCAGTTACAAAGCCCAGAATGGGCTTGGAGGGGAGAATAGAAATGCTGGCAATGCACTTTGCAATGTGGCGCTTCTAAAAGACACCCCTTCATGTCCGTTATGTCCAGTGTCCAAAAAGTCCTGGTTGGTTAATTGGTCACAGATCTCAGAAAAAGAGGAAATGCATACTGCCACCCACTCCAAAGAGAGAGAAAATCAAAATGGGTAACATGTTCATGTACTTATATGTTGGTACTAATGCAACAAGTTTCATTTAAATA